TCTCAAGAAACAATGGAACTGTGTATAAGATTTGAAATGAAGTAGAAGAAAGATCAAAGTGAGTCAATCTGGAAAAAAAATACTACAATAAAGTCTAAATTCGTTTTCAAAGTTATCAAAAACAGATCGCTAATAGTTAAAAATCACTTCTTGAAAGTCCTATAAATTGACCTTTACCTCATGGTTGAAAAGCCATAGGATGCTTCCTTCAGAAAATCTGAGTACCTAAAGGTTCCTTGTTGGTTTTATGCAAGCTGTTAACAAGTTTGGTAACTCTGCTGAAAAACAAACTCCTATGTATAAATGTGTTATAAGAATTGCAAATGAAATGGTTTTCATTTTTTTGTTTGTAAAATAAATCAGACTTACCATATCATAAATCAAACAAAAATAGAGTTTGCTGAATTTTTTTTTTCCCAAAGAGCAACTAAAAAGAACTTAATACTGGAAAAAGTCCAGCTTAAACGCTTCTTGACAATTCCTTGAAAAAAAAAAAAAACAGTTGGTAAGCCAAGGTAAATATTGTATCCTAGAACATGGGTCTGACAATGTACTCAATACACATTGCTGATCTTTGTATTTAAGATTGGGGCAAATAATAAATTATTAAAAAGAAGATTTAGAGAAAGTCATTTTGCACAGACACACACATTAAGTTATTTATTAATTCAAAATGTATGAATTAGCCAATAACTTGTTCTGGCAAGTAATTGTAAATGAAAACAGCTTCATAATTTCATTTTTGAAATGAAAATTAGCACAATACCTTTTTTGCTATTTCAAAGATATATAAAGAATTTAACATTTATTTTTGGCCTATTGTCTTTGATAATTTGTCTCAGAAGGAGGTAAGTCAAAAGTCAAAAATCTCTTTGCAGAAACAATAGAAGTATGGATAGAGACAGGAGATTGAAAAAGTTTCTATGTGATTGTGGGTAGCAAGGTTTCACATGGAGGATGATGTTCTACCTAGATCTTTAAGGCTGCTTGGCTGTACTTAAATAAACTGGGAAGTTTACAAGAAATTCATACGGCCATGCTCAGTGTCTCAGCCTGTAATCCCAGCACTTTGGGAGGCCAAGGCCAGGCGAGTGGATTACCTGAGGTCATGGGTTCGAGACCAGCCCAGGCAACTTGGCGAGACCTCTTCTCTACAATAAATAAAAAATTAGCCCGGTGTGGTAGCATGCTCCTGTAGTTCCGGCTACTTGGAAGGCTGAGGCGGAAGAATCGCTGGAGCCCAGGAGGTTGGTGCTCAGGTTGCCATGGGTGTGCCACTGCACTCCTGCCTGGGCGATAGAGACTCCAACTCAAAAAAAGAAATTCGCACATGTAGCTATTCATTTGTTGAACTGAGGCTATAACATGCTCACCAGAGGAACAAATGCTGCCTAGAGTAATGGTTGGCTGTGCCTTCCCTCCAAAGTCTCGCTTCTTGATTTATACCTCAGAAATACAGATTCCTTCTTCAAACAGGAAGCTCTTTGCTTGTTTCTCTTAGAAGCAGGAATTTTTAAAAAACAATTTCTGATTGGATGAATAAAAATGATATATGAACAAACATAGGAATTTTTCTTTTCATTATCTCTCTTGGGCATTCATGACATAATTCGTTATCAGGTAATCTGGAAAAATAACATTGACACTTGATCTTGTCGCCTAGCCCCCCAGTCACTTGACCCTGATCTTTAAATTAGCAAACTGTAAAAACGTCAACTGTTTTGTATCTTTGCTCCTTAGTATTTTGTTACATTTTTCTCATTGGCCAAGGCTGATTCCCTTACCACTTACAACCTCCCTGCTCTGCTGTGCAGATGGCTCACTGCCCAGCATCGTTTGTTCAGAGGCTGTAATGTGAAGGGTGTCCTTGTAGTAGTCCATGGTCCAGCCTGCCTTACACAGAGTATTGTCACCTGGCCTCTGGATTCCCTCTTAGAGGTCCCTGTTTTATTACCTCCTGGCTTGCAACATCATCATTCACCTCTGCGCTGGCTAAGCATATATGGGGGAGAACCCCCAAAAATTATTTATAAAAAACTTTGTATTTTTTCTGCCATGTTTAAACTTCAGTCACCTTCAAAGGACTCACCATTGGATGCAATACGCCTATCGAGAAGCTTTTCCACTGCTCAAAACAGTTTTTGAACTTGTTAATTTGGATACCTTTTAGTGCTTCTGCCATTTTTTGTTTCACCTCTTCTACATAGACAAAACATTTACCTCTGAGGACTTTTTCATCGGGGAAACAAACAAACAAACAAAAGCACTTGAGGTGAGATTGAGTGAATAGGGAGAGTGGGATACGGGGATCATGACGTTTTTGGTTCAAAACTGCTGAACACTCAGAAAACAAAATTTCACTGCTGCTTGTTGTTTGTGTAAATCACGCATAATGAAAATGGGCAAACGTGTTGAAAAAATCTCCAAAAAAAAAAAAAAATTCACTGAGGCCGACAAAAGCAGCCTCTCCCAACAACGCTAGCTGGTATGGATGCCAATGAGTTCCTAGAACACTTATCTAACAGGGAAAGCCTATACTTCAAGGGGGCCACCCTCCAAAAGATAATTCTAAGGTTTTTTTTTAGTTCCCTCTCGTAAACCTGCTTACATTTCATTCTTTAAAATATATACATTTTTTTTGAAAGCAGGATTTGTTAAGAAGACAGAAAAGCTCCCACAGCAGGAGGAGACCCAAAGGGGGTGTCCCATCAGAATATTTTAATATTCCAAAGGAAACACAACCAACATTAAAAGACTCCAATCATTTTTGACCAAGTCCTCCTGTAAGCCACAGCCTATTCTCTGTCACCTCTTCTAGGGACAAAGACTTGTCCATACCTTCTCATTCTCAGTAACTGATGATGACTTTACAGAGGCTCTTGCACAGGATTACTCCAACAGCTTCCCTGCTGGTCTCCTAGCACCTCTGAATATTCCTTTTTAACCTTTCCTTCTGCATTGCTGTCACAGGATCCTTTATAAAATACAAGAGTGTTTATGTCATTTTCCTTCTTATAATCCTGCAATTACCCCTATCATTCTCAAGAGAACATAAGCACCTCATCTGGGATACAGCTTTTCTCATCAGACCAATTTAGCTTAGTCTCTTGATCCACCTTCACTCCTGGGTCCTTCAACAAGCTCAACTCCAGGTGTCCTAAGTCCACGGCTACACCTGTGGATTTCCTTCACATTTCCTCACTGCCCTGAATGTCCCTGCACTTGCTGCTTTTCTTCCACGAGCGCCCTTATCTGTATTTCTCTGCCTAAGTGTCCACATATTCTACTAGCCTTAGTTCAAAGTCTCCCTCCTTCTCAGACCTGCTCTGACCCTCATCTCCCCACACAGTCTGCCCTTCCTCTGTCCTTGCACGTCACCTGTGAGTTATGTTTTACAGTTCTCAAGAGAAGCACCTGAATCTTATTTATGATGCTGTCATCAGCCTACTTCACAGGGTCTATATAATAGGCACTTGGTAAATGTGTCTTTAAAGATAATTATTGAATTTTTATTTTTCTTCTGTCTCCTCAAGTGTAGAACTTATATCTTTCCAGTAAAAGTCACATAGCTGGATCTCAATAGAGATGAACATCTGTTGAAGGAACCAACACTGTAATTCCTCTGAACTCTCCCTTCTCCAATCTTTCCTGCACACTGATGGAAGATGATCTTCCCTAATACACCAACTCTCCATGACACCTATCACCCTTTTCTCTCTAGCTCAAATTGTCACTGGCTTCCCGTTACCTGTAGGATGAAACCAAGCTTCTCCTACATAAATTCTTTTGCATTTGCTATGACTTCTGCCAGGAATGCTCTTTCCTCGATCACAGACTCCCTCTTTCTCTTCCTCATGTCCCAGACCAATCCTTCCTTGACTACTCAAACTAAAATGACCTTTGAGTCAGTCTATTACATTAACTCATTGTAGTTTCTTAATGCCTGCCATTTATTAGAGCTGAAATCATCATCCTCACAGTCTTTTTTCTATTGTGTCTATAGATTACCTTCCTCATGGGAATGTAAGGCTTATTTAACACAGGGGCCTGGTCAGCTTTGTTCACTGCTACCCACTTTCAAGTTCTTGGGACCAGAGGTTGACTGCCAAAATATTTGTTCAATGAACGAAAGACTAAACCCAAAAATACTTCAGCCTGACATTCAGGGTTCTCGAAGACCTGGCCTCAATCTACCTTTCCAGCCTTATCTCCCACTAATTACAGTTTGCTACTTACAAGCTCCTAACTGGGCCTATCTACAATACCCTTGTCTTCTTTCTCTTCCTATCTAAACTATCTATATCTTTAAAGATCCATCTCAAATTCCATCTCTTCTCTAAGGCAATCCAAAGTGGCAAGCACTTTAACTATATTGCTTCTTTATAAAATCTATTAAACATTTTTCAATTCCATAGAGCTCCCTAATGCTTATAATAAATATTTTCATTTTAAAAATAGACTACAATTTATAATAAGAGAAAATTATTAGAATGAAGAATTCTATAGGGTAAGTAAGTTTGGGGCCCTAATTGACCTATTTTTAGAAAATTACATGCCTTTTTCTTCAAGTATATTAGAAAAGTTTACTTTTGGGTATAATGTGCAACATAAGGGTTACAAAGCAACATTCAAAATTAGGTTGTGAAGGTTGGTTCTAGTGACAACTCTGACCTCCACTTTAAACTGCAGCTAATATTTTCCACTGAACATATTATACAAAGACATCCAAAAAGTAACTTGTCAACTTTTAACTGGGAGACTGCATAGTCCTACTGATTAAATCATTTGTTTCAATCCAAAAAACAAAACAACCAGGAATGCTTCTGTGATAAGAACCATTAGTCAGGAAATTCTCAAGGCAGAATGAATTTTAAATATTTTTACTGCTCTATATCCTGTTGACCAGTGGTAGATATGTGTAGACACACCTACATGTGTGGGCCTACACATCAGAGCAGATAATGCTATATGTATCAAGCAGATAGAGAAAACATGCCAACCTGGACACCAACTTGGTACCACTAGCATCCTCTGCTGAATTTGCGTCATCCAAGCAGGGTTTTCTACGACTTAGCCACAGGCTGGCCTGAGGAATGCCATCAGATAGCTCTGGTTGTGGTACCTTGTGGGCCTGAACGCATTCCTCACTCCTGGACTTTGAGATCTAGAAAGTAAAATTAAAAAACAAAAAGGGAGAGCAAAAAAAAAAAAAAAAAGATAAATTAAAAAGTCTTTTAAATTAAGTTACTGAAAATAGATAATTTATTCCAGTTTATTAATAATCTAATGCATTAATAACTTCCTAAGTTAGGCATACAATTTAGGCATGAAATTTAAAATACACATGAAATTATTATATAGCAAAGAGCATAGGGAAGAGGAGATACCAATATTTCCAAGGGGAACTTTCAAACTATATACAGCCCATATCCCTCTCTAAGATTCTGGCACAAAACTTCCCCAGATTCACCCCTCGTTAGAATAATCATTCTCTGTAATGAGAGATGATGGGAGTACATTAGACTGGCAACCTGGATTGAAGAAAAGAAAAAAAGAGTGGAGAGAGGCAGGAAAAAAAGGCTGAGAACTACTGAAACAGAAAAATGGCAAGGTCAGAAAGGTGTCCGGAAATATTTACTACCAACAAGCAAAATATACACAAGTTTGCTGATAATTTCTATTGTAATTCTTTTTTGTTGGGCAAAGTAAGATCTAAAAAATTTTTGGCTAAGGTAATAAATAGAAAAATATATACTTTTTAGTTATATCTCTAGACTCGTAGGCAACACATGACTGAAATGAATACTGGGTAAACTGACTTCTCAGATTATATCTGAAGTTATACTCCCTCTAACCTCTCAAATATCCTCATGCTCTTATTTTAGATCAGAAAAAAATATGAATACAATCAATAATTTTTTCCTAAAAAGTGTAAAAAACATGATGCCAGATTGTAGAAAAATCCAAGACCTTGGATTAATTGTATTTGTCACATTGGAAGCTTTTTTTTTGTCCCTAGGGCTCTCTCCATACTTGTCCTTGCACCTGGAATGTCATCTGTTCATCACTGGTCACTCACCAGCTGCCTAAGACCAAACTGATCCTAACTTCCTTTGAGGCTGGAATAACTCATTTTTCATGTAGTTTTTCATATGGTTTTTCTAACTAACCTCAGGTCTTAATGACCTTCTAAATTCTGAATTCCTGTAACATACCACCTCATAGTCTACCCTTGATTACACATTGCTTGGTATTTTAATCTTAGTTGTCTCATGTTTCTAGGTCACATGGTCTCAACTAGATTTCTGGAGATAGAAATTAGAGCCTCTTTTTCTTATTTCTACCTTTCTTCTTTTTCTCCTTCTCTTTCTTCTACTAATCCTTATTTTTATTATTAGCATTTTTACCATAAAGTCTAGCAACGTTTTGAATACACTAATAAATACTTTATATAAATTGCTGTTGTCAGACAACAATAAATGTATTCAATTATGATTTGTCAAGTAAAAATAATATAATTTAAAAAACAAACAGCACACATAAACAAAATCTATGACTATAATTTGGCAAAAGTTACATTTAGCATAGAGCAAAGTGAACACTCAACAAAAGCTAGTTTTTATTATTACTGGTGTTTTGTAAAATTTTGCCCAAATCTAGTGACTGTCAGTTAATTGTTCATGGCATTTCTTTGCAAGGCATTCATAAGCTCATTAAAACCAAGGAAAGCAAAGACAAATTTAAAAAAAATTATAAACTTACAAAAAACATTTCTATATTCCATAATATTTGCAAAGATTATTTTTTAATTGAAAAATTAAAATGATATATATTTATTGTGTACAACATATTGTTTTGAAATATGTTGTATACATATATGTATATGCTGTGGAATAGCTAAATCGAGCTAATTAACACATGCATTTCCTCACATACTTTTTTTTTGTGGTGAGAAAACTTAAAATTTACTCTCAGCAATTTTCAAAAATGTCACAATTACTTTTCAAAAAGGAATATTAAGATAAACAACAAAAGAGCATGAAAAGAATATGCTATGACATATTTGATAAAGGGGCTCCTTTTGCATGTGATTATTTTTCATAAGAGTGAAAAATCACTAAGATTTCAAACCAAGTAGCTAAAAATATCTCACATTTAGACTTAATTCCCTTTCAATATTAAATCAAACACAACAGCACTTGGCAATGCTTCATGGTGTTTAAAACAAGGAGACGATGTTTTTAGGTTCAGTGATCATTTTGGGGTTCCAAACTCTATTCAGCAATTTATATAAAGATAGAACATCCAGGGTAAAAAAAGGTTAATATGTAGATTTTTCCGTCGCGACACATTAAAATAGCCTTCATAACACAAATCAACTAGAACTCAGACACCAGAAACTCTATCAGTTATATTTTGTCTAAGAGCATTTCTGTGATTATTATATTTCTATAGAAATAACATAGACATGATTGCCATTAACCATGAACTTTAAGATATAGACTTATTATTTCTATAACAAAGTAGCACAAAGAACTAGGTTTATGCATAGAATGTAAGAATACCACAAGTAGTTTGTGAGACAATAGAATTGTTAGAAAAAACAGTAGCTCAGTAACTCTCAGACTACTGGCACTATGAAATACACATGTATAATTCAAAAGGAAGGAGGTTTTAAAAGATTACTAATGATATATTCTTAAAGATGTACCTTGAAGACTATACATATCACTATAGAAATGATGACTATAGGAAAAATGAAAATGTGATAAAACGTTAAAATCAGCTGTTTCACTGATGTAATTAAAATTAGTTCAAATGTACTATTCATTTTTGGGGAAAAACAGATCACACTATTTTAGCTGGAATTGAGTTTTTTAGGAAAACGATTTGAACATAAATAAATTTATACTACTCAGTCTTATAATGGAGGCAGAGAGGATCGTTTTATTTTGATGCTTTGGGCATCCATTTTAGACTCTATATAGTCTACTGCTGGTGTACATTAACTTAAAGTTGGTGCTCATGGGCTTTTCCATAACTGATCTCCCTCAGGAGGAGCATGATTCCAGTCAGTCAAGGCCAAGGTCACAAGTGGGCATGTTATTACAGTATGGAAGCAGCAATGGTGTTCATTTTGTCTGGAGACATTTTTTTTTTTTTTTTTTTTGAGTTGGAGTCTCACTCCGTTGCCCAGACTGGAGTGCAGTGGCTGCTCCCAGCCACTGCTGCCTCGACCTGCTGGGCTCCGGCGATCCTTACGCCTCAGTCTTCCAAGTAGCTGGAACTACAGGCGCGTGCTACCACGCCTGGCTAATTTTTTGATTTATTGTAGAGATGAGGTCTCGCCAAGTTGCCCAGGCGGGTCTCGAACCCTCGGGCTCAGGCAATCCACTCACCCCAGCCTCCCAAAGTGCTGGGATTACAGGTGTGAGCCACTGTTCTTGGTCAGAGAAGCCCTGTTTTAGAGGGAACAGTAGGAAGAAACCTGTACTGAGGTAACATCTCTCTTCATACTATTCTCCTCAGGTTCTAGTCTCTTTCTTTCTGCTGTTGGCACATTAAGACATAATGGACCAAGACCAGCTATGAGTTTAGTAGAAGTGGGCTAGCGAGGCCATTTAGGTCTGCCTTGTCTGGACAAGAAGGGCTGGTGGCTCCAGGCGGCTCAGCACGCTCTGCTGGGCAGGGACTCCAAATAGGACCAACAACCTCACTGTAACAAATGGAGTGGATGTGCCTGGGCATACCCATAGTAGCCGCCCTCATGACATGTGGCTGCAGGAAGAAAATGGCCGAAGCTTTGGGGAAGAGATGGGGACAGCCAGCTTTCTCTTTCCACTGGAGTTATAACCGACATGTGCTAGTTCACACCACACTTTGCTTCTTTATGTTAGTCATTTCTTCATTTATTTAGTCATTTTGTAACTTTTATGGTTGAAGGTGAAAACTATAAAATCCCTCAAGCCATCGATGAAAAATATTTTGCTTATGAGAATTCTGCCATGGGCTACTTGAGATAAAAATCTAGGTATATGCTGTGTGATTTATGTGTACAACTAAAATACAAACAATTCCAGGAATCTTTTAAAAAGTACATTCCGTGCATGTAGTTGCAGGTATGAAGTGGCTCTAGCGGTAGCATTCTGAGGTTCTTTAATATTTAAGATGCCATGGAAATAGAAACAAAGGAATGTCCTTTAAGAAAGTAAAATTAGAGAATGTTCTTTTCACGGCTGGTGCTGCTGCTGTTCTAAATAAACACTTATTGAACACTTACTCTGTACCAGACATAGTTACAGGAGGTTTACATAAACTAACACATTTAATTCTCACAACAGCCCAAGAAGACAGGAACTGTTATTATTACCATTTCAAAGATGGGAAAACTGAGACATAAAGAGTTTGAGCTATCTGCTCCCATACAGTTAGAATCCAGATAGGTCTCAGTACTTGTGTTAAACCACAAGTCTATATACTTGGGTTATGTGTTAAATGTGAATATTGCAAGAAGAAATGTACTTTTAGATGAAAGTCATACTACCTATTGTAATGCAATCCCTTTCTGCTTTTTAAAAATTTTTTTTTAAATTAGTAGTTAAAACTTTCTTTTCTCTAAATGTATCCTTCTGGCACCTGCTGAGTCATTCAAAGAATATGGTCTTGGGGGAAAGAATCAGATTTGAGGAAAAACCAGATGGAAATATGTTCATCATATTTTTATTTATGACACAACAAAAATGTAAGCTAAATGTGTCCTAAATAACCACATTACTATAATAGGTAAATTTTGGCACATCCACATAATGAAGGATTATTTTCAGTCATTAAAATATTTGTATTCTTTAATGAGACTAATGAAATACTTTTGTTATGATACATAACCTAGTATGAACTCAGTTAGCAAATAAAAATTCATAAGTAGTTAGATATATACCTCCAATAAAACTAGAATCATCATACCTCAACCATACGTGAATTCATTTCAAAAGTCAAAAAGCAAGTTCTGTCACAGTCAACACATTAAAAATCTTAAGATGGTGTCATTTAAAAACAAGAACCCAGCACGACAAAAAAATTTCTCCAGATAATTGAGGTAACTGAAAATAAAAAGACAACAAATATTGTGTCTCAAAGTTAATTTTTATCCACAGCCCTCATACA